TAAGAGCTTCGGTCCAGAAAATAAATTTATCGTTGGCATACAGTAAAATACATACCAAACTCGGCCGGTGATAAATTTTCAAGACCTCAGTCCTTACTGATTTTTGAACTCGGCCTTCGGCCTCGTTCAAAAATCCAGTAAGGACCTCGGTCTTGAAAATTTATTTACACCGGCCTCGTTCAGTATTATATAACACCAAAGCCCACGTCATCATGTTCATCGAAGGAGAAGTTTCGCCTATTTCGACACTCGAGGACATATATAAGCTAAAGCGCTGAAAGTGGGTTCGATAGCTCTCTAACGCGTGCAATCAGCCATGGGGGGGGGGCGTATCGGCCAAACCCGATCATAATTTAAGAAGGCTAGAAAGACGAGAAAAGCAACAGATAGCTGTAGGATGTTTCAGAATCGTAGAGCCAGAGGTCATTTTTCGATTATGTCATCGCTGAGGTCATTAAAGATGAAATTATGATGAAATTATGATAAACACAAAGACAAGATTACGACGAAAAAATTCATGTTTTTATATTTTCACAAATAATCGTATAACTCGTGAACCAAAGAGCTAAGAGCTTCGCGAAACAACTCATTCGATAGGCCTTTCAAAACGCTTTCGCTTTTAAGATTTGACCTCAATGCCTCATGCCAATGGTTTGGCAACAGAGCAGAGGGCAAAACCATCTAAATAGTCGCATTTTACCAAAATAGTTTTGCTAAGAATTTTTGCCAGAACTTTGGTGAGAAAAAATATGAGACATTTACTTTGTCATCATTCTCTTGTTAACATGCATCGAATGTTAACCTATAATTTCACATAAAAAGTTCAACTTCTAAATGTGACCGCAGATCGTTAGGTTAGGTTAGGTTAGGTTAGGTTAGGTTAGGTTAGGTTAGGTTATTGACAAGTTCATGATGGTCATCAACTGATCCGTATAGATGATTAACACCTTCAAGACAATTTCATTACTCTACCTCGTCTCCTATATCAAAAGTAATAGTCGAAAAACTGATGTTGAGCTCTTTTAAAAGCTTTTTGACCTAGCCCGACCATTTGAGTGGCCGCTGGCCATCAATTGCACGCTGTCCATCAAATATGAGCAGAATGGTCGTGTTTCTGTAAATATGCTGTTGTTTTTTACGTGCCTCTTCAGATCAAGAGATATTTGTCCTTTTCCCCGATTTGGCTGGTATGGTAATGATCAGGACAATGATCTGACCTTTCGTTGTTGGTAAGGGGCCCCATTAGGTTGAGGGGGGCCCACTTTGCTGGGGGGGCCCATCACGAACGTCTCTCACCCCCGTCGTCAGAGTTCTGGCTGCGCCACTGCACTGATAGAGCTAGACACACGCTACACGGTGTCATGAAAATGACTGCACTGGGGTGCCTGGTAGGGTAAGGGCGGGTAAGAGTACGCGGGCGATAAGAGTACGCATCAGCTGTTTCGGTTGCTTAGCAACGCGGGTTTGTCGAGTTCATGAAGTGACATGAAGCCGCCAGTGCGTGCATGTCACCAACGGAACGTGGGCGTTGAGCGGCGACGCTGTTGAGTTTAAAGGTAGACTGCCACCTTTTTTCCACAAAACGGTTTTCACTAGAGCTGAGCCACCTATGTCCCAGACTGAAGTCGGTTTTCCGAAATTCGAACCCGTTTGCGAGAAATCGGAGACCAAAGTTCAGTTTGATGCCATTTTTTTAGTCCAAGAAAACCGACATCTCTACTGTTTATCGATAACTTTGAAACATGAATTTTCTTATCTTTTGGTAAATATATGTCAAAACTTTGATTGTTTCGAGATCAGAGAAGAATTTTGGAGTGTCAAAATAAAAGTTAAACTTATATATTCAGTAGTTCATTTTTTCCAAAAAAGTGTGGGAAATGGGGTTTAACATGGGCCAGACCCATTCCAAATGAGCCATGATTTTTAAATGTTTTACGAACTTAACTGCAAAATAAATTAAACATGGCCAATTTCTTATGAAATCATATATTAGTAAATCATAAAATACCTTACTTTTTCAAATAAAATGTAATAATCTTATGACCTTGAAGTCTAGTGATGTGTAAACATTGTCGCTAGACATTAACCGATTGATAATTGTATGATAATCGACAATTTTTTTCGCGATTCACGTGATGATACTTTGTCAGGTGAATTCTAAAATTTTGTTTTGTCCAGGGAATAAATCATAGGCCGATCTGAGAAAACTTTTTGAAGGTGGCAGTCTTCCTTTAAGGCGATGAATATTATTTTCGAGCGTTATGATATTATTATGATATGGTACAATAATTTTGATACTTGGCAGTTGAGATAAGGTACAATTCCGTGATTGTTGTGGGAAACTTGTGAGGTTATGTGGGGAAATACTGTACAGTGCAATATTCTGTTTGCGAAGTTTTGCACAACGTTTCGGGGTTGTTTTGTGCGCGAATTGCATGTACGGTAAGAGGACGCACTGTTCAGGAGGGTAAGAGTACGCAGAATTATACATTAAATCGAATATACAGAAATATAGAATTAATAATCTATCGCTCAATGACGTTTGTTTTGTAGGTATATCATCAATGGAGCACTGTGATGCAGATGCGTACCCGAAATTCTTCCAAATACGAGTTATTCTCCTTTTTGATTGTGCATTTTTTTAAGAAACACACGACATGATTATTTCCTGATTTATAGACTTGAAAGATTTATTTTATGTTTTTCTTTTTGGATACTAGAATGAGCTTAAATCCCTTCTGAGTTTGAAGTTAAGCATTTGGACAGTGGAAGCTGCATAGGTGTGTGTTCATATGCTTGCGTACTCCACCCGCCTGGCGTGCGTACTCTTACACACCCCATATGGTAAGAGTACGCAAGTGCAACGGTTCGGAAAATGTCCGTTTTAGACCACTTCCATTTACGCTGAAGGATCGTTGCCCCATGGGTTGATGGCTAATTCAATGAACTTTAATATTCCCTATTTGCGATTTCTTTCCTTCAAATATTAAACAAATGAGAGCAAGAAATCCACTAAGTGCGTACTCTTATACGACTTCACCCTACATGAACTATGCACGTGCAGTTAATTCATATCTTACTGTAGGTAGATATCCACACCAATCTCGCGTGCTTTCAAGCATTTTTGGGATGTTTCGGTTGGTTTCAGGTTCAGTCCAAGCCCAGTCTGGGTTTCGGTGGTTTTGCCCGGTGTGTGCCCTCAGTAGAGTACCGTTCCTCCAATTCTGGCCCAAGGCAACGCAAGAGCGCTGCCGGCATCTAGTAATTAAGTAGGTATACCTACATATACGGAAACTGCGCCGAAAGCCCGAAAGCTGGCCGACCACCTACTGCAGATGTGTGTGTGTGGAGGAGCCAGACGCCTCCAAAGCTCCCATTCACCAGAGTGAAGTTCCTTATAAACGATTGTTTGCTTATTGCTTTATGTCTTATGAGCGATTACTTGCTGTCCTTACTTTATGCTTTCAGTTGAGTGTTTAACCAAGTATTATGAACGGGGAGGGAGGCTAGCGGGCCTTGTGATTGTTTTATTGTTTTGATGGCGTTTTTTCATGACTCATGCCATATTACTGCTGCAGTTTGCAGTCCACTGTTTCATGTATTTGTGTTTCATTTGACGTGTCTGTAGCCGTTTGAAATATACATTCAATCAAAGTCAACCACTACTTTCCTTTTGCAATGCTCGAGCCTCGATGACCGGTTAACAGAGCATATGTGTGACCGTAACAATTTTAAATATGCATTGAAACCGCACAACCTGCTGAAAGTGCATTGGCTGCTACTTGCTACTTGATCCAGTGTGAAGCAAAAGCAAGATGAAGTCAAGTCGAGACTTGAGAAAACAGGAGCCATCACTCGAGCCGAACCTGAGCAAAGCCACAGCAGTTTGCAATGTATAAACCCCATTCACTTCTACGGCTTAAGTCGGGATAGACAGGGTACACAGAGTGGGCTTGCCGGAGTTCAGCCCGCTCGGGCCCAGAGTAATCTCCATTATATAAATGGATTCACTGCTCGGGCTTAAATCGGGCTAACGCCCATCGTCGCTCAACTAGGGCTAAACTACGGCTGTCCGGAGCTCGCAGAGCGGGCATACCTCCGGCAGAGCATGGGCTTTAGTCGGCGTATTTGTGTCATACGCCGACTTTAGCCCAAGCCCTAGCCGACTTTAGCCCGACTAAAAATCTCGGGCAATCCGCACTTGAGCCTGCTTGGGCCCGGAGCAAAATTGCTGGCTGGGGTAGGTTAGGTTGTAGGTTTGTAGGTTGTAGGTTTGTAGGTTGTAGGTCTGTAGGTTAGGTTGTAGGTTAGGTTGTAGGTTGTAGGTTTGTAGGTTGTAGGTTAGGTCAGGTGAGGTTAGGGTATGTTTGTTTTTGTTTGGTTTGTTTACCAAGAAGCATCTTCGGGTATAGCGCCTTCCTTTGGTTGGAAAAAAGAAACACGCGATTCGGCGTATGTCGGCTCGCATAAGCCGGACATGCCTAAGAGCTATACTTTTTTAAGCCACGCGTTTCAAGCATTCAAACATGCGATATGTTGCTCCACCCTTGCATAAAGGGTGGGTGTCAAGGTCAGCTGAAGGTCAGGTCAGGTCACTGACCTTCGATGACCTCGGTTCACTTTTTTGGCTATGTTCAAGGCCAGCCGTATATGCTATGTTCTTGTTTTCGTGCATTATGCATGCAGTCCTCTATACACCGCGATGCATACTTTATGCTAGTATTCTAAGACCGTGGCTTTATGCAAGGCCCTAAATGCAGCTTTATGCATGCATGCTTGAAATGCATCGTACTTTATCTTCAATTCATGTTTAAGTCATATCTTTCTTAATTGGTTCTATGACGCAAACATTTGTTTTCAATCATTTTCAACGTTCGCTCTGATGATTGGTGAAATATCGTGACGTAGCCCGCAAGCTAGCGAATCAGATGTCGACACATGTATTTACGTCATCAATTTACTTTGGCCACCTTGAGACACATGAAGATAAACCGATACTGATACAACCACAGCCAAGGCCAAGCCAAGGCGAGACGAGTCGGTTGAGCGCGTGTGTTGTGTTGTTTTCAATGAAAGCGACCGAAAAAGGGAGCTTTTTTGTGTAGTTTCGGCCCAAGCTTTGTGGTTTACAGCACTGGGCAGTGAGCACTTAAAATAGTCAAATCGCTGGTGAGTATTTCTGTTGAAGCTATTTTATATAAGGTAGGTAGGTCTGCCGGTAGGTACCTACTGAAACGATTTTGTGTCACTTCAATAATCCAATTCACGGATCAGTTTCAATATTGAATACCTTGCTCATTTCTGGATATCATACTGTCCATTGCGTTGTGTTTGTCAAGGTGATCACTGCTCGCATGAATACCGTTGCAGGGTTCATTTCAAATTTCCTGAAATAAGTTTTCAATGGATTTATGATTTTTATGCTCAAAATGATCAAAAAATAAAATGAAACCTTTGATTACTTTCTATATTATTATATAGGAGAAACTATTATGTAAAATACTGTTTGACACGGAATATTTTTAGGTACGCCTTAACCTATCATATTGTGTAGTATTAATCTACGCATACTGCATTGGCTGTAAGCAGCATGCTGATTGGCTGGCGATGACGTGGCTGCATTCCTCAGCAAGTCGCACATTCCTCAGCAAGGCACTCTTTACAGAATGAGAATTGGAATATCCTCGTCGTTGGTGATCGTTGGGCCGTAAAAGCTCCTGATTTGTGCTAGTCTTAGGCCTCAACTCAAGCTATGAAACTGCTATTCCAGTTCAAAACCCCATGTTAAAAGTGAACTATTTCCATTAATACGATCCATCAGACTTAAGCATTTGATTGTATAAGTCACTGCTTGAATTGGCATCAGTTTTGAATTGGCTTGGATAATCATTTTGTAGATTATATTGTTAAAATGTGGACTGAAACAGAAAATCTGTTAATTAAAAAACTTTTTTTTTTAAGAGGACATTATATTATGTCTTATACTTATCTCATTTCTGTCAATGCTTTTGCTGCTTATTTAACTGTCACTGTTTGCATTCATCACCTAGATCTATTTGCACTTTGCAGTCAGCGCCCAGTGATGCAGCCTCGTCGGGGGCGAGGTCAGTCCCAGTTGGGGCTGGGAGTCATCATGCTGGCCTCGCAGCTCCTCAATGTCGGATTGGACCGCATCCCACCCGTCACTCTGGCTACCATTGCTGCTCAAGTGAGTCTAGCAGCTGAGGTAGGAGAGGATCAGTGCTGTTTTAAGTTTTCTACCCTATAGATCACAGGCAGAAAAGAGATAGGAACATGGCTGAATTATCCAGTTTGTAGCAGATGCAGATTCCTTTAATGCCTTCAGGCCTCCTTCTGCAATCTGAACTCCACTGGTGTGTGGTACAATCTCTCTTGAAAGTACCGTGCATCGGGTCAAGGCCCTAAAACATACATCGGGTAGACAGTGCCACCAAGCCCAATGTAGGAAGGGCTGCTAAGTTTGAGAGTCGCCGAACCACTCGACCTGGGGAATGGATGAGCCGCTGCCGCTGAACCGTTTATAGTCGCTGGTTCAACGGTACTTTCCTTCCCCATGTTACGGTACTTTCAAGAGAGACTGTACCCTTGTCTCTTGATTGGCTGGCAGGTGGCGCTGTTTCTAAACATCATCCGTCCGCCGTGGCACCGGTATGATGCCTGTATCAGTGTGCTCACTGTGCTGCGTCAGGGCGACTACAAGCGCATCCTAATTAGCACCTTCGAACATGCCGACGAGTGGCACCTTTACTACAACATGGTCTCTTTCCTCTGGAAGGGCATGCGTCTCGAGCAAAGGTGAGCGGATGAACACTGTGTGGATGGTCATCTGTTACTGTGAGATCGTGAAATTCGGTCATAGCTCGACATTCGCGTACTTACTAGGCACATTTTAGGCGCGGTAGTTGCGGCAGTTTGCCGTTACTCTAGGTGTTGTTGCGGCAATTGTCCCTCCTGTGTGATATTTTGGTTAAGGAGTGAGAGAATCGGACGGTACAGCACGGCCGACCGCTGGGTGCTGGTCAAAGACCCGCTCCAGCCCCTGATTTGCGTCTATATGCTTGTTTTCCTCAACTGATTTTTTTCGGTGCACTGTACAGGAAGCGGTATGCATTACGGTCGAATTAAGCTCGGTAAGCAGAGCGGGCTTGTTCGACTTTGTTTGCAATTCGCGCTAAATTCCAGGCATGAAGACTTGTATAAGCAAATGCTCGCACTCCGATGCTCGTGTGATTTAACGCCGGTAATTTCCTATTTGGGACTACATTTGTTAAAAAAAAATCCGTAATTGCATATTGATTTAGCAGCTGCGTGCTGACTAGGTAACCGATAAATTATTCCCAGTGCGCGAACCACAAGCGCTACGATTGCTGCTCTTCTGGACTTAGCATCACTTTGTGGCATCACTATCGGATGACATTATATAGGCTCAATCATATGACTTATACCTATTTATGTTAGCATAGAGTTTATTTCATTAGATTCTCTTTTATCCAAACTATATCGTGTGTCGTACATAGTTGCTGACCAGTGATCGCTCGCGATGGTTTCTGACTCTCGCTGTGCCTGTTTTTCAGGATGGGAAGCCGGCGGTTCGCCATTCTTCTGGCAGTGTTCTCAGTCTCCTGTAGCATGACCTATCTGGCCTTGGCCAAGACTGCTACAGACTTCTTCCACGATGGCTCATACTCCAGACAATGCGCCATTGGATTTTCAGGTACTTACCATCCCTGAGTCAGGATATGCTTCTTTACCAGTATGGGATAGATAGTCCATTGATATTGTTGCTTGAACCGTTCCGGTGACGACTTTTCGGATGCTGATAGCACGGAATATATCGACTTCTTTTTTAAACCCCACATTTGTTCTCCCGTGAAGTTCAGACAAGTTGTTTAGAAACCTTCAAAAAAGGTACAGTCACTCGATTTTTCTCAAGTTTGTCTGTCTTGGCAGATCAAGCAACGCCAGAGCAAGCTTACGAACACACAAATTTGATCAGGATCGGACGATTGGACACTTCTAAAAAGAGATCTTTCGTGCTTCCCGGAAATTCACCGGAGAACAGATGTGGGGTTTAAAAAAAAGGTGTCGATATAGTCTACGTAGACTATATATTCCGTGCTGATAGTTCGGGTGACATGCTCCCGGCATGCTGTGCATACAAATGCAGTTGTTTGGCAGCAATCACATTTAACAATTCTCTTTTTTTGTAAACGTGACACGTGGTTTATTTGTTCATGTGTACATTTTTTCATCGCATTTCCAGGCTTCTACCGAGCTTATTCGCGTCCCTTTATGTTGAGCCCTGCCGACCACCGGTCTGTCTGTTCCATTGTCGTGCAGGTGTGATATTCGCGCTGAAGGTGCTCACTCACCAGCTGGAGAGCGCGCCCGGCACGTGGACCTATTTGTCGGGCCTGGCGGTGCCGGCGCGCTGGGCAGTCTGGGCCGAGCTGGTCCTCATCCACATACTGGTGCCGGGCGCCTCATTCATCGGCCACCTGGCGGGCATTCTCGTAGGCCTGGCTTACACGTACGGGCCGCTAGAGTACGCCGTCAGCTGCCTCGACAAGATTATTGCAGGTGAGTGATTTGCCTGTGTGCATGGAGGGCTCAGCTGTGATGCGTAGAAGAGGCGTGCTTGGCTTTTCTGGGGCTGTAATACCTTTTTTGCGCTATGTTGATATTTTTCTTCGTGTATTTCTTCGAAGTCGTGACTCCGATTACATATTTTGTTTTTAATTCCTGGAGTTATATTACTGCATAACATTAGAGTTTTTGGACAATAAAGTTGGTTTGGTGCCCCACACTCGGCAAAAATAGCATCAGTCGCTTTACCTAGCGTTGTTGTCCCGTTCAAAAGCATTTGAATACGATAGTTATCCCTACCTGGCTCGTGGTCAGCAGAACCGTCGTCCGGAAGCATCTACAGCACGCTTTAGTATTCAAGCAATGCTATAATTTATGGTAGAAGTGGTTCATGCATATGCATACGATCTGCGTGTGGAAATGAATAAGCGCTTTTAAAAAATCATCCTCACTTCTCGCCTCGACAAACAGAAGCTAATATGCGCACGAAATCCTGCGCTTATTCTCTTATTCAAATGGTCAGGTAGGTATGGTCTGCTTTGAACAACCGTTCTAAATTTTGCATGTCGATGTCAGGAAGTAATGTGTTGACTGGCAGGATATTTGTTCTTACTTTTCCCTTGGATATGATTGTATCACATTATGCAAGATTGCCGTAACAAACCAACAGAAATTGCATCTTGCTAGGTGTGTTTTGCAGCGCTGTTCCTGAGTCATGCTTGTTTATACTGCCCTTTACGTTAGTTGTCCAATGGACCTTTACATTACCTGTTATGGACAGTGTCCATAACAGGTAACGTGGGTATTTTATGCTTGTTTGGCCACCTTGTCTTATTCTTTTGTTGTTAAACCCTGTATAACAGTAGTGGTGCTACTTTTGAGTGGTGCTGGTGCTAGTGGTGCTACAGTTGTAGTGGTGCTACTTTTGACGCCGTTCTACACCACGTCTTGCGCCACGCTGTGAGGCCGTGCTGGGGTCGTGTCTTGTCCTCCCACCCTCCCCTCCCGCGGCGTCCTGTCGGCCGGCCAGCGCGGCGCCCAGCGGTGGGCGGGTCGATCCCCGTCTGTCCTGCCGCCCCGCCCCGCTCCGGCCGGCCAAATAGACGCCCCCAGCCGCCGGCGGCCCTTGTCCTGCCGCCCGCCCATATATATCACTGCCTATCGACATGTCGTCCACTGACGTCACGGTTACGTCACTGCTGCGGCCGGAGAGGGTCCCGTGTGCGTGCGGCCGGCGCGCTGAAAGCAGGTCTGTTTACTGGTCACCGCGGGCAGCCGCACCTGTCCACAGCTCTCTGTCACGGTCGCCTCATGCGGCCGGTTCATGTGGACGTGCCGGTAGTTTGCTGTTTGTGAGCGGCTGTTTGCTGTCTTATCGATCACCGTACTTATGGTGTGCTCCTCTGTGTAGTGTTTGATAGATGGCACGTCGCATGTATGGCCAGCCGTAGTGAATATTAACGACTGTCTTGGCGTCGTATCATCGTGTCGGCGCCTTCCGTGTCGGCGCCGCCTCCCTCCCGGAGTGCGACCATGGACGGGGAGCCCGCAGACGTAATGTTCTCCCCACACTGCCTCATGGGTGACATACAAATGCACACCCTGCCGCACACAAATCTGTCCTCGGGTCGCCATCACGCACACACAAATATCATTGGGGTCTGTGTCACGCACACAAATCTGTCCGTGGGTCGCCATCGCCCATCACGCACACACAAATATCAGTGGGGTCGATGTCACGCACACAAATCTGTCTGGGGTTGTTTGCACATACAAATCTGACTGGGGTGGATGTCACGAACACACTAGAGTACACGAACTACGAATCGCGGTCGCTGCGGCTGCCACACATGAATCAGTCACGAAGGAAACAGGAACATGCTGGTCGATTATGTAAAATGTCTTCAACGTTTTGGATTTTGTGCACAGTTGAATATAGTTTGTAATATTACAACTAATGTTGAAGAATGCTAGAGAATTTAACAACTTTTCTCAGGAGAGCATTAGGCCATGTTTGTGTATAGGATCGTTTATATGATCGTTTATATGAAAACATCTGTTGAAGTCAGTCGCTGAGTTTGTTGATAAACTCAGTCACTGATTAGGCGTTCAATTGCGTTTGTGGAAGTTCTTCCACAAAATCTTTGAAATCAGCATTGCTGATTTTATTCATAGAAGCGACAAAACTTTATTAATCACCACAAACTTCAGCCTGCTCATTGGCTTTGCAAGGCCTCGCGTGACCGGTGATTGTATAAATCAATGACATGGTTTATTTCATGGCACAGCTCCAGAGTCCCTCTCCGGGTTCATTAGTAAGAGGTTGGTGCTATTAACGCATCGGTATATGTATACCTACCAGCCTATCCGTTCGTTCTGCCGTGCCGGATTTTTATTTTCTTCAACCCTCCTTCTCGACTCCCGTACAATGCGGCGTTGTGTCAGGGAGCTTCTGCTTTCTGACGTCGAGCTGATTGATCCAGTTAGTTGTAAACCGATATTGGTGGGCAGTGTAACATCCTTGTTTTTATTCGCTACTTCTTGCTGTATTGTATCTTTTTAGTTTCGCCATAAGTACAGCGGATGTGAATTGTGAGGGGCACCTCTGGTACGGCTTGTTAGCTTGTTGCACCTGAGTCGTTACTTCGTGGAACAGACAATCGGATTTTCACAGAAACTTTTGCCGCGGTCAGTATTGCATTATGTGGAAGCCTCTACGATAGCCTGCTCGATCATTAGGTGGATCAATCCAATCAGGCAATCAAATCCCTCGATACCCATTACGAGGTCGGCGCGGGCCGGATATATCTCTGTCGGTGAGTCTGTGGGCCGACCGGCCGGCTCTCGGTCAGCCGAGCGGAGGCCAAGGTCGGTGTGTTGAATGTGGCGCCCGCCGCCGATCTGCGACTCGGCTCTGTCGGTGCCCTCGCGCTGAAGGCTCCCGGGAGGCGCGGCCGCTCACGGGCCAGCGCCGTCCAATTTCTTTAGAAGGCAGTGGCCGTGCCGACGGAAAAGTTAGCGCCGCGCGGCGCGCCCCGTATGACTGCGGTCGGGCTAATGTCGGGAGTTGGGCAGTCGGCTATGGTCACGGGTCAGTAAGCCAGGCTTTGTGGCGTATTACGTCCGCCAGGTGGCCGTCAATGATAACGTGGAGGGCGCCCATGGCCTCATTTCTCTCTCCCCCTCTCTTTTTTTGTCCTCTCCCCCCCTCTCTCTCTCCATTATCTCTCCCCTTCTCTGCCGTTCTCTGCTGTGCTCCGCTCTGCTCTGCTCTGCTCTCCTGTTCCTCCCTTTCTTGATCTCGCTTCCCTGGTGCTAGGCTCACCTCTAGCTCTCCCATTCCTTCCTCTCTCCCTTCCCCTTCCCCTTTCCTCCTCTATCCTATCTCGACCTCGAGATTCTGGGCTGTCATACACGACGCAGACCAGCTGAAAATAGCGCACTTCAAGCTGTCAGCGCCGCACAGAAGGGTGATGTAAATAGTCTGATTTGTGAATGTGCTCGCCGGATGGATCTATCGAGTTCGGATAAAGGCTGCGCTCCGATGCGATCCCCGGCGCCGGGACCCGGCCGATGGCTGTGCGCGCTGGCCAGCGAGGGTGGAACGGGAGCAGAATCATTCCTCGCACGTCGGCCTGATCGTGTTTACTCGCTCCGTGGCAGTTACACGAGTGAGTGGTACCGCAGTGAGTATGTCCAGTAAAACTGTTACTGCGCCCACTGTTGCAATGTGTGAGCTCAGTTATTATGAGTCAGTGGTGTGTCGATTGAGCGTTATTTTAAAGTCTGATACGTTCGCTGCTGGTGTGGCACGCTGTTGAATCAGCCCGATCTTGAGACTGCTATATATTTTCTCCGGTTTATCAATGCTGAATCAGCGCTGAGAGACGCTCGTTTAGTGTTTTAATATCCCATTCATTTTGATCCTAGCTCATGCTTTTATGGGGTTATATTTGCGTTTTTGGAGACGCAGATATTTTAACTAGGTAGTTATTATCTTTTTTTTGTGAGACGGCAGTTTAATCAACTTTTCGTGAAATATACGGTGCCAATTTATGTAAATTGGCGCACCATGTGTATTGTGTACCTATCGCTGCCCCGGCTGTCACCTAGGGCAAGTAGTTACTATGTGATTTACACGTATGTAGGTCAGTGTGTCCAAACTTGTAATGATGCGGGGAAATCCGCCCATAATGGAAAGTATAATGACATCCTAAAAATACAAATAGAAACATCCACACAGCAGTCACAACTCATAATAACAACCTCGAACCCAAACATCTAGGATCAAGAGAAACACAAACCTCGCAAACTCTACAACATGCCAAGACAACCATTCGAATACCTCAAATGTTCAAATATATGACCAACTTAAACCTCATTTAACATCCCGAATATCAGAATGCCTTCAAAGTTTTATCAGTATTTAATATTTCTACATCATTTTCTCATGACATAAAAAGGGTCGAAGTCAAGTTTTATTAAAATAACGACATCCTTTCGGGCCTTTTTTTCTACATCCTCCCCCAACGTAAAATGAATTTAGCCACACTGATGTAGGTTTCACTTTTTATATACGTAGTAAGATACAAAACCGAAAACATTTTCTTTGTTTCCCTCCTCTTTTGCTCTTGTGGAAGCAAAAGTTTTAATGAAACAATCAGGGGCCTCAAATTGTTACGGTGTTTTGAATCATAAAGTATGCAAATTTCTTTCAGCGTAAATTCCATTTTCCCTTGGATGGTGACGGGAAACCGAGGCGGTTCTTTGAGATTGTCACAGTGGCTTCCCTTATTATCCAATTTGTGAGTCGCATCTCTTTTCGTATTTCCTCGCCTCTTTCTCATTTTACACGCATTTCGCGGCGAAGATCCGCATCTGTTGGCTCGTTTGTAATTCTTTAGTTGAAGTTTTTTTTTTTGCTTCTATCTGTTGTATGGTTGAGGTTCTACGGCGTATTCATGAATAACGTTTATTTTCCTTCAGTAGATGTTTCCACATATTGCAGTGGAAGTGACAGTTTCTTCATCCACGGCACAACATCCTTCCATATATCTCCCAATGAGATATAGCTATAAAAAAGCTCCATTGTCATGTAGGAAGTCTCCTTTGTGCGTGTATTTGTTGGAAGGTACTGTGCCGATATTGTGTCCTGTTGCTATGTCCTTTTACTTCATCTGTCGCCGTTCCATCGTTAGCACGGCTAACCGTCATTGACTGACCCGCTGTTTCCCTAAAGTTGGCTGGCCGGGACGGACTGTCGCGCGCTGTCCGTGTTTATAACTCAGCTAATGTGTGGTGGCGTGCCAGTGTACCTTCGTCACTAACCACCTGTTTCTTCCCTCCACAGTACCGTTGGCCAGGGCAGGCTCGGCCCACCCTCGGGGCGCCTCCTACACCTACCACAGCGGCTCCACGGGCCGGCGGAGCGGCGGCGGCGGCGGCGGCTCCTGGTCGGCCGGTGGTCCCCGCTCGGGCCCGGCCGGCGGTCCCGGCTCGGGTGGTCCGGGCTCCGGCGGGTTCTGGGGCGCGGCGCCAGAGTACGGCGGCGGCTACCCTCCGCGGCCGTCAGCTCCGCCCGACTACGGCTGGTCGGTGCCGCCGCACGACGGGCCCGCCGGCGCCGATGACGGTGACGAGGACGCCGCGCTGGCCGAGGCGATCCGCCGCTCGCGGCAGACGTATTCAGAAGAGTCGGCGGCGCGGCGCCGGTTCGAGCCCTCGGCGCCACCGCTCTGAGTGGACGCCCGCCGGCTCCAGTCATCGCCACCTATTGATCCGCTGAGGCGGCTGAGTCGCGATTCGGAATCGCTGTTTTGTTGCGGCCGCCGCCGCCGCCGGCGGGGGGCTGGGCGGGGGCGGCTGTTTGTTGCGTGATATAGCGGAGGACGAGACGTCCTGTCGGTGGCGACAGGCGGCCGCGGAACGAGTGCCGACGCTCGGACCGGGGCGGGTCCGACGGGGACGGAGTTATCGCACAGCTCTCTGGAAGGTGGTGACGTGATAAGAACGAATGTTATGTGAGCTGGTTTCGGGCGGGGTGGGAGAGTCTCAGCCGTCTCCGAGACTGCGCGTGTCTTACCGTACTGTGCGTGTCGTACCGTCTGGTCTGCCCAGTGGCCGGTCACCGTCAGCCTGTGTCCTGGACGGAGCAGCCGGCGCGCCCGCTCACTGCCGTGACACGCCGGCCGCACTGAGTTATTAGCCAAGTTGCGACGGCCGATGTTGCCCGGCGATCGAGTCGCTAACTTGGCCCGCTGCGTGTGTTGGCGGGCGGCGCTCAACATATTGCCTCCTGTCGCCTGTCGTCCTCGCGATAAAGTTCGCTTTAACTCTTCCCCGGTATCGATCACGGCAACCTATCATCACGCTATTTATCGGAACTTGGAAAGCGAAAGGAGCGGGAAGCTGCGGGATGTTACTATTTGGTAGTATAAGATTGTCGTGCGAGAAAGCTCGTATGACGAAGTAGCGTTAGCGTGTTGTGGGAACGTTTGTCTGTGATATTACTGCTACGTAGTTACCTCAATCTGTACTGGATTTTATTTATGGTAACATAATAATATATTTCATCTTGTTCTTTTAATATTACCTGTTTGCTGCTTCGGTTTCCGTTTATCGTTTCCCCGAACGCAGGAGTTGCTTGTAATACGCCATTCTTTTTCTTAGAAATAGGTACGAATCGTTCTTAGGACGTCCGTGCTCTGCACTGTTTGTCTATTCAGTGCCTTTTCCTGCAGCTACTGGGCAGTTTCACAGGCCGTATGGGGGAGGACGGTCTCATCTGTATTCGTTGTCTGCGTCCCGGGCGCCTACCTGTCTTTATTTCTGCGCGCCGGCGCGCGGTTCGGACGGCGAGCTGCCGGACGGGGCCTGCACGCCGCGCCGGCCGGCCGGGGAGGGAGGTAAACAGCGCTGGGCCGGCGGGATGATCACAGCACGGTCCGTCCGCGAGGGTCGGTACTGTACCGCGGTACCAACGGGCTACACTCGCGGCTGGGCGGCGCCGTAGCGGCCTCTGGCACTGATACATGTCGGCCGAGCTGACTGGCGATATCTCAGAAAGTCAGTTATTACGCAGAGTTATGAAGATCCTTGGAACTGCGTTAAAAAAAAAATGAATTACCGACCACAGTTTGGTCTGTCTGTGTGTTTCTCATGCTACAGGCAGTTTATTACGTTCACTCCTATTTTTAGGGATTACCCGGGGGTCAACACGTAATGCACCGTGAGCTTCCTGTCAGCGCGAACGGCCCATAACCCGCGCCCCACTGGGGTCTGTGTATAACACGCCCTACTGGGGGGGGGGGGGGGCTATTCATAGCCCCCCCTCCTAACTCCGAAACTACTGGGCCGATCGTCAAAATTCAAACGGCGTCTGATAGCCCCGGAAAAACTGTCGAACGAAACCTAATTTCATTGACCTCGAGGTCACCGATGACGTCACAGGTCAGGTCAAAGTAAAAATTATTAGCATTTTGGTTTGTTCACATTTTGGGCTCTGGCCGCCGTCTTACAAGTCAGATCAGGCTCATTTTTGGTACACACACTCTTGAACAGATGCTCTAGATACCCTGAGGGTACCAAACTTTTACTTTGATTTTCAGGTCAAGGTCAGGTCATCACAGGTCACAAAAATATTTTATCATGCGTCGGTCACGTGACACATGTTTTATGGTCCATTTAGGCCATAGATTTCGAATTTGATGTCGTCTTTGTCATTCGAGGTCATTTTGAGTCGAATTTAGCTTAGGTCAGATCACTTTCAGGTCTTTTTTGACCTGAAAGTGATCTGACCTAAGCTAAATTCGACTGCATCCAATAGACACCTTTTTTGTTGAAAAATTTCAACTTCAAAATTTGACCTTTTTTGGTCAAATTTTGAAGTTGAAATTTTTCAACAAAAAAGGTGTCTATTGGATGCAGTTTGAGCTCAGGAACACGATGGTGCCATTTATATTGGTGTACGATGTCAAATACGTACTGAAAAATTGATTTGAAAAATTAATAATTGTGAATTTTTTTGCAATAATGCGTATAACTTGGCCATTTTTGAAGATATTTAGCTAAAACTTGCTAGAGTTAGTCATAATCATGCGATCTGTCACATATATTCCGTTTTTTTTCGAAAAAACAAAAACTTTTTGAAAAAAATATAAAAATATAAATTTTGAATATTATTATATAAAATTTTCGAAATTTTCAAAATTTTGAAAATTCGAGATAGCAGTTTGATAGCGCGGTCAATTCTGAGTGCTTTCATGCAAAGAAATTGGATCTAGCTTAAAAACTGAGCTCTTGGGAGCGATTGCCGTGGTTCAATGTTTTGCGTCGAAATCGGGCGAACATGACGTCACTCTGACGTCATTTCCGGCCAACCTATGGTAGCTACGAAGTTCAAATTTTGACACTAGGTGTCAAATTGATGCAGCCGAAGGTACTGAAAGTTTGGCGTCGATCCGTCAAGCGGTTTGGAAGTTATTGCAGAAAAACGGGAGGGGGGGCTATAAATAGCCCCCCCCCCCCCAGTGGGGCGCGGGATAACAGGCGCTCATAACCCACGAAGGAACGATGGAATCCTGTTTCGATTAGCTCCGACCGCGATGCCTGCGGCAACAAAAAATCGTGACGAGATGCTGCCTAGTGCCTACGCAGCGCGGCTTCCTGATCCTATGTTACCCCTCAGTTTACTGTCCATTACACTTCCTTTCACAAATTCCATAATTCATTGACTTGCATGTCATGCCATGTCAATATCCAAGTACCGAACATGCTTCGTGCCAATGGCTAATACGGATCTCGTCAGTAGGGGAAGTTGGGGCAATGCCGGAGTTGGGGCAAAGCCGAAATTCGAGATATTTCTAAAACTGTACGACATGGATGCCACGTCTCAGTGATGCTCTGATGCTTAAGTGACTACAATTATCGCATGTTTGTTACGAGTCGTCATTTGGAATACTTCGGCTGTGAGGGCGCCAAAAGTGTTTTCAAGGTACGTTTCCCTTGTACTACATGCGCCTTTGAAGCTGCATTTCTTACTCATTATGCTACCGTTTGTCTGGCCAATTCGGTCAAGTAATCTTCAGCATGTCTTTGCATAAGTGTGTTGCCTATTTGAAATTTATACAGCACGTTTAAAAGTTATGGGCCTGCAAATGAAAGTATGGCTGGCTGGGGTAATGCCGAAAACGTGCAATTACGCACGTTAAAGCACGCTACGTGGACTTTACTGCTGTAGAATAGCAACGCGTATTTTTAGTCAAACAAATTACACTTTCAGCCGGCACAACGGCCTGTTACCTATAAGGAATGACTTACCTGGCATTTTCTTATTATATCACACAATTATAACTTCCAGTGTGCACCAAGCGTCCTCAAGCTCTTAAAACGCGTGTCAGCTTTGATGAATTTTGGATAAAGTTTGAGATAAATTGGCAAAACATCAATGTCGGCATTCCTCGTAGATCATTTATCCCATTTTCGGCTTTCCCCGCAGTCCGGGGCAACGCCGAAAAAGTCAGTTCTTTGATATTTTTAGTTTTTGCGCTTAACGGTATGCGAATTCATCAAATGCGCCTGGTATGTTTGAAAGACAAAAGACTGGCCTCTCAAATGACGCCAACAAGAATAGCTTATGTTGTCTACCTTGCGTGCTACGGGCGTCAGAAAAAAAGTGTTCGGCGTTCCCCCAACTTCCCCTAACATATGGATCAATTTGACTAAAACGATATCCGAGTCGTAATCTCTAATAGGGAAACTGAACATGAGTGGAACGTCATCTATTGTAAAAGCAGTAATAGGTACAATTTCGATGATGAAATGTAGGTACCGCTTTGCGTTGCATGAGTACATGTTGATTGTTGAATGATGCAATTAACTCACTTATCTGGTAGAGTAATCAACGTTCGCGTGTCGTTTTCTGCGAAGCTCAAGATCGATGACCGAAATTGTGAAGGGCGGCAATGCCAAACACTCGACCGAACGTTGCGCAGGGATCACTCGTGTGCAGAGGGCTAACCTGGGTAGGCACCGTACAAAAGCAATAACTCGAATATTGCGTATGGCAACGCGGTTTGATTGCTGATACAAAAACATGTGCAACATCGTGCGACAGTGGTTTGGTGCGGCGCTCGCCAGTCCAATGGAGACTACCCTCCGCAGCCGTATTCAGGTCGGGTGTAACACGCCCGTTCCAATCAGGGAAATGTCTCTCGGGAGGCCTCGTACCGGACAACCACGCTCACACCAAATAGCAATGCTCCGAGAAAACGTATACTTTTACTTGATTCGAAATTGGTATTACTTGCTGTGTATTACATAGGGATGGGTACATCGCATTGTCTCGCGGCGCGTGCTATGTGTAAGTTTGTCTATGTCTTTGTCTGTGTCGCCGTCCTCTGCACCGTTCGACCTCCGTGAACCGTTCAGTCGAGCGGCGTCCCCTCCCGTGGTCAGCTCGGGTCCTGCCGTTGATCGTCGAGCAGCGGTCAGCCGGCCGGGCGATTCGGCGCCTCGGCCGGCCTCCGAACGCCGCCGACCACCCTGCTAACGAGACCCTTTGCCGCCGTAATGGCCCTCAAAGTGTGGCCGGCACACCAAGTGGTCGGGTCGGCCGGGCGCCGCGGTGATTGAGGCGCGGCGCGCCGGCCGGCCGGAAATCTGCAGCGCGGCCCAGTGTGTCGCTCCGCTACCTCGCGGCGGCGCTCCTAGCGCTGTCACCCACCGGACTGCAGCGGCAGACTTCACTACAGACTGCCGAGCGGCCAGCGGCAGGGATGCAGCGCTAGCAGGCTTCACTGGACTGCAGTGTCACACTTTACTGAGATGCAGCGTCTCCGACGGCCTGCTTCACTGCAGTAGACTGCCGAGCGGCCACCGACCGGCTTCACTGCAGGGCAGGACTACAGTTCTACCCCACCGGTCATCTTCACTGGACTAGGTATATAGAGAACCTACTGAACTGCAGTGCTGAAACATCCGGAGCTGGCAGCCCACAATCCACATAGTCTGCTCACCGGCAGCTGACACGCCACAACTGCCCTGCCAGAGGATCTCCGGATATTCCGAACGGCTACTAAAGGCCCTGCAATGCGGCAATTGTTGAAATTGCAGCTTAGTCTTCATAAACACTGGTAGAAAATGATTTGAGCCAAACCTTCGTAGGAGGCTCTGAATTAACAGCATCACATATTTCTTAAGCAGTTATCGTATCCGCGGTCGCCTGGACGGAGTTCGATGGCACGACGATATGTTCGCCGATGCCTGTCGAGTCGACATTAAACACTGATTGCGGTAGTTTTTGTGTAACTGGCTTCATCCATGGCTGGGGTATCTCCCAAGAATACTGATGAGTGATTAACCTTGACAGACACAGAGAGCAGTGAGCACCGAATGAACCAAAGCCAATTCATAGTTCTGGAGCACGGCCTTCAAAACAATAGTGACAGTTCGATTATTTTACCCACCTTTCTTGCTGGACCTACAGGGAGGCTCAGCTTTTTTAGCTCAGCACAGTTAATTTAATTACAAAAACGGATGGAATAAAATACAGAGAATTTAATCTTCGCATTTTACGTTTTGACTTTT